TATATATAGAGAGAGAGAGAGAGAGAGAGAGAGAGAGAGTAAATCGATGAAGGCATTATAGACCTGAATGCGCGATTTGTCGTCAGTCATCGCGATACGTACGCACTATATGATATATACATGTGATAGTTTTTCAAATGGGTGCTTTTGTGGAAGAAATTGTCTTTTTATCACGACATAATTCCTAATGTATTCAATTTTAATGTACAAGTAAAACTAGCATGATAGTTAATAACCTGATTATATATTATTCGCGTTATTTATGTATATAAATTATAATTTCCATATGTTTACAATTCCGAAAGATCTTGTTTTCAATATAATAATATAAATTTGTATAAATAATTAATCAATTTATTTTAATTAAATTTTGAAATTTTATTATTTATAATTATACAATTATATAGTTGAATACTCCCCAAAAAATGTTCTATTTATAAGCGGGAAATTTCCTTAAGCATTTCCTCTAAGCAAAAAAATTTTACATAAAGTATATTTCTCAGCTATAACGCTAATCCATCTACAAAGAAGTGGCACGTGCGCTATAATCAAGAATATTATCTACAAAGAAGTGGCACGTGCGCTATAATCAAGAATAAATTCTCATAGTAATACGATATTCCTCTACATTTTAGAAACTCCTTACTAATGACGTAGTAACGATCTTTTTAATATATACTTACGATTCTTTTATATATATATATATATATATATATATATATATATTATAACGCGAATAATATAATCAGGTTATTAAACATCATGCTAGTTTTACTTATGCATTAAAATTGAATACGTTACGAATTAATGTCGTGATAAAAAGACGATTTCTTGCACGAAAGTATACCGCAAGAAATTGTCGCAAAGTGCTTCTTTGTGCAAACTTCCCTGTTTACAGTTCGATCATTTGAAGCATGCAAAACTTTAACGTCCGCCAGAATAATGTCGATGTCTCAAAAGTGATCGATAAGAATCAGTTATATTTTCGAGCGTGCCACGTTATCGATACATACAATGCTAATCCGCTTATACGGAATTTCACAAAAGAATATATTTGTGCATGTTATTCTCGCGTCCGATTACGGACGTCCCGATTAGATGTAGTACGTGCCCGTACATGTAAATTCAATTCTATTTGTTATGTTGACTCTTCCGCAGAATGTGCCCGCAGAACATGTATATGTTACATTCTCTTCCGATGTGTCCAATAACGCGCACACTCGCATACGTCCCTATAACTAACGTGTATTTCTGCCCCGTTGCGGGACATTCCTTAAAACGGCGCGGTGCATATTATAAATATTATTCTCGTCGCGATTAATCCGGCGACGGCGCGAAAAATGGATTAAGCGATTACAGATATGTGAGAAAGGACGGCATTCTTCCGCTATTACGTGGCCCCGAAAACATTTCGCCGACATGCATTTACCGAAAGGTCGAGTGGTCAATGCGGCGCGAGTGTAAAGTTTAATTTGGACGAATCCGCGCGGGATTCGAGAGCCCGCGGTGTGAGAGCATTAATATGTCCAGTCGACGATGAAATCTCGCTCTATCCGCGACTCTCCGTATTTATTGTATAGGATGCAATAGTGCGCAATCGCGTCCCGGGATATGTACACGACCATTTTATCCGCGCATTGACAAGCCGATCAGGGCGGCGCGTCAGAATCCGTCATGTTCGCGCTCACGTGCCCGGACCACGGATATATAACATACCCCCCGCATATGTCACGTAATGTCACCGGATAAAAATCGCCGAGAATAAATGCTCGTGGGATCCGGAACAAACGAAACTAACGAACTTTGCAACCATTATTCCGCCCCATAGACTGAGAACAGAAATACCGCCGGCGGAAAGCGCGCCGCGCCGTGAGCGCGTCATATATCGATCTTGCGCACGTGCGTGTGATTCGAGAGCGAGATGGGAAAGCGTGCAGCGAACGCCTGACAGTTCCGACCGATCGTTCTTGTGACACAAGATCGCACAGTGTTGATTAATACTGTTGCAAATTGTATTAGATAATGCAACGTAAATTTTCGCCGCCGAGATTTTCTCGCAAATACACACACGTCCGTTTAATACTTCCATTTTTCAATTCTCGACGTAGCAACGCGTTCGAGCGAAAATTGCACATTTCTGAAAAGGATTAACAGCACACGCGCGTCTGTAGCGAGAGAAATATCGCGCAAATAAGATTTTCTCGACGATGTTTACCATCGCAGTAGTCAACTCCAGAGACTCTTTCCGTTTAAATTTTTTATTATCGGAGGATTAAAAGAAGTTTATTCCCACGTGTGGTTTCATAAAATTTCTATGTAGAAGTTATATAATCGATGATCGTTGATAATCATCGATCTATAATAATAATCGATTTGCATCGATTATTGTACCCAGGCGCGAGACGCACTACAAAATTCATGTGCCGCATTGAGATAAATTCACGGAGAGATATTTTGCTTCGTCTACCGTATAATTTGCAAATAGAAGCGCGTTTTATAAAGGCAGGGATCGTTATAAAATATGGTGAGCTCATAAAATGCGCAAGAAAGTAATTTGATGCGTATTCGGTGCACTCGTGTTGCAAAGTCGTTCGCGTTGTCTGAAATGGATTTACGACGCTGATGTTATATCGATTCGCTTTTGTCGCCTATTGTTTTAGGACTTTATCAGCGTCCTGGGGAGGCTTGGGGAAAAATGCCGCGCGATGGTGGCTGCGTCACCATATAACGATGATTTATTCAATTTATTCAGTCCAATCGTCGCGAGGGCCCCGCGTACCGCCTGCTTGCGATCGGACAGGAATTAGTTGCGCCGCCCCGTCAATCTCCCGTATTCGCCCCGTGATACGCCAACTTTCTCTTTATAACTTTAATGTATACGTATGTTTAAGAACACATAGATTATTCTGAGTCACCTTTATATGAAGATATTTTAACCGAATGTTACTTATCACTCATAAGGACGTTTGCGAGAACCGTAAAATAGATTTCAATATAATATATTATATTATAAAAAAAATGTACATCTAAAACATCTATAACAAACGTGAATATTTATGAAAATTTCAGTTTGATTGTTCCTTCCAAACAGTTCCGTTTACTCTCATCGCCGCGAATTGTAATGTTCATCACGGTAAATACATCACGTGCGGCGTCCTCTCATAATTGTGCGTAAAAGAATCGTCGTTTCCCCCGCGCTAACGAGTCTCGGTGAAATAATGTAGACCATTAAAACGCTTTTATAGTGGACTATACGCGCGCGGCTGCAGCGTCAAAGCTGAAAGCGGCAACAAAGGCAATCGCGGACCGACGACGTTGTCGCTCGATAAATTAATTAATTGGAGATCTATCGTTTCCGGTATATTACGGTATATTATAGCGTTATTGATAACGTATTAAAAACACAATACATTATTTTCGACTCTTTTGCGTAATTTGAATAAAGAGTCCGTGAATGAAACATACAAATTTGTATTATATCTGTTATCTCCCCAATTTTCCTGATGAAAAGTCGCTTACCTGGAGATACACCAAGATCTTGCAGGGTACCGGTCCGAAGAACCAGGTCTCGGTGACGTCCCAAAGAACCGTCGGCGGCAGGCACAAAAGCAGGACTAAGATATCGGACACCGCCAAGTTGAGGAAGAAAAGGTTGAATGTGGTTCGCAAATTTGGGTTGCGATAGAAGGCTATGCAGATGAGCCCGTTGTCGACCAGACCCATCACTAAGACGATGGCGTGAGCGGCGATCATCACCCAGTCGATCAATTTCGGGGGAGGGATTACGTCTTGCGTGATCTTGATCAAGTCTTCGTCCGGCATACAATATTCGTTCGTGCAATTCATGTCGTTGATGTAGTTGATATTGTTGGTGTCGTTGTTCTCGTCGAGCGCGAGCCTCACTGATGCCATCGAGGCGACGAGCATCAGCAGCGCAACGGGATGCATATTTATTCGAAATCCGAACATCTCCTCAAGTTATACACCTGTCGAACCATACATTTTCCACATTTAATCGATTCGCAGCGTTCAGACAGATATAATGTTGATAGATACGTTCATAGATGAAATGTTTATATGACCTATTGAAATTCAGATACTATCCATTAGAAGACAATTCTGCTTCGCTCTTAATCAAGAAATTTCTCTACGTTCCTATACACGTTTATCCTAAGCAACGCTTCGTGTTAGAAACATTACGTTTTACGCTTTCGCGTGCAGATATGTACGTTGATAGCGAAATTCATACCATCAGCTAATTTTTACTATCCACTCTTATTTTATATCGAACGGAAACGCGGCTAATTTATATTCCAAGTTTGGAAGAGCCGTTCGCGTATACAATTCACGTGCGGCCCGTTTTATTTTTTTAAGTCATAGTCCATAATTTATTTATTTATGCCATAATTCAAGATGTCTGCTATAGATACGTTCCCACGCGTAAGATAACTTTGTCATATCATTTCAAATTTCAAAATTTCACGAAATGAAGAATAATTGATTATTTATTTGCTTTTATAAACTCAATTTATAGAGAATTTTTCACTTTTAATGGCTTGCATAATGAAAAATGAGAAACGCGAATTATCACTTTGATTTTTCACTAAGAAGTTGTATATTTACCTGTAAGTGTCGCAAGGAATTAAATACACGTTTATTTTACCAATTGTGGGACATTATAGATTCATCTTTCGCGTAGTATCATCGGTAATTATTTGCCAATTGCTTAACAAAGGTTTTTATCAGTCTTTTAAGGCTAAATTATTTATTTAGAATCAGTCTTCTCACAGAAGTCTCTAGTATTCTCAAGATTTTTATTTCCGTCTTTCCAAACGTGATTTGTATAACGCAATTCCCTCAGATATAATTATATTATATTAAAGTTGAGATATAATTATATTAAAGGCTCAAATACACATGATTATATTAATAACGTTATTTCAATAATATTAATATAGACATAATTAATATCGATATGGACATAAAGTGATTAATGTTAATATGTCACAGGCCGTTTAACAACTTCCATGAAATGTCACATGACGCGAACGCGCCAGCGGTCTGCGCGGAACTGAAGGCGCCGCTGCAGGTTTTCACGCGCGGAGCTGTTATTATAGATTACGACGAGCGCCGCGACGCCGACTCTTGCGAAAATTGCACAATGTAGTAGGGGAATCAAAAATATTCTACCTGCTTGTACGCCGGCGTATTCAATTCCCCCTTATTGCAGGGTTGCGCAATCTGGTTACATGGGCAATCTAAAAGGATATACCTCGCAATTTTAATTTTATTGGCTAAGTTGACGAGTCGATACTAATTCTCTCTGGACGGTGATATCAAGACAATAATTTTCAAATTCTAGATTCGATTAGGAAATAACATGTCGAGAAAACTCTTTGTGAAATCACATTCTTGGAATATTTTCGAATTATAAACTTTAATTGAATTAACTAAATTGAAATTTTCAATGTAACATGTTGAGTATGCATGGTCTATGAATAGTTTAACTCTCGCCTATTAGAGCCACGTCTATTGCATGTAACATGCGACACAATGGGGTCTCAGCCTTTGCCTGTAACCTTCCTCCCCCACATTCTGTTTTTTTGCTTTTTGGCCTGCGGACTAAGCAGTTGACTTAAGACCAGCGTGAGTGAGAGACGTATGAAAGTTCGTGTGCTAACATATAACCATTATTCAATAAAGTTTTATTGACAACAGCAACGTTCGTGTGAATTTTGTTGAATAAACCCAAAATAACATATCGTTAGAACCAACAAAAAAAAGATTTAATTGTCATAAAAAATTTAACAATTAAAATTAAGTTTATAACAAATATGTAAAAAAATAAGAAAATTAATGATAAATAATGAGAAATATAGATATTTTTATAAATTAAAAATGTGTTTTTATTTCAAATAATTGAGTACAATGAACATTTTGACTTTAATTCAGTTTCAGCGTTAAAATATTAATACAAATAGAAATTTAATAGCGTGAAATTTAAAAAAGAATTAAATATGAATTAACTATAACAAAATGAAAATTAAAAAAATATGAATATAAGAAAAACTTCTCAGGTGAAATGAACATACCTTTAAAATTCTAAATAGATAAGAAAATATGTATTTATTTACATAATATTTTTGTCATACATTGAAAATAAGTTATTATTTAAAAAAATAAAATACACGCGCATAAATACTTATAAATGTATTTGTTATATAATATTATATTTAAAAAAGATTATATAATTTAATAGTTAATTTATAAAATTAATTAAATGTTATAATAATTATCGTCAAATTTTTGTACAAAAGCAAAAAAGGAAACCATGATTTTTTATAAAGTTTATTAAATATATTTGTATAACTTTTGTATGTAATTACACGCGCGAAAGAAAACGGAATGATACTTTACAAGATATTATTGTGTTGATCTCAGTTGTATAGATGATTGTAGTACAATCATGAAAACGGGAAACGAAGAATGTCATGTGCTGTTATGTAAAATTAATTGGTATTTAATAAAACTTAATGATTATAAGATGTGCGTAAGCGTACACACAATATTTAAACAGATCGGAAGAGCACACGTCTGTAAAATCGTAGTAGATTCTTTTCACATTTCTTTTAAATATTGTTGCAACATTAGTAAAATAATGTTGCAAATCTATATTTTAACAATGTTTCTGAAGCATTGCATTGCAATATGCAATGTTGCAACTTTGCTGCAAGCTTCTGTGCTGTATGGCTACGTTTTTAGTTACAAGGGAAAGAACTCAACAATTAGTGTCTCTCTCCGTTTTTGATGAGCTTTGAACATGTTGTTTTATATAAATGATAAATAATAATGTAAACAATGAATAGTAATGTAATAACCGCGCTAATTTAAAACAATAACTATAAACAACAATAGATTAGATCGATAATATTTTATAATATATGTATGTACACAGGGCTGGGTAAAATACATCATTAAAGTATTTAAAATACAAAATACAAAATATTGACAATTTTATAGTATTTTAATTACAAAATATATATAAAATACTTTCAATCTTTTGATTTAAAATACAAAATACAAAATACTTCCAATCTTTCGGTTTGATATACAAAATAAAAAATACTTTAAGTTTTTATTTGAAATACAAAATACTTTGTAATTTAATCTTTTAATTACAATATTATTAAACTTCCCCCCCTTTTAATAGTCTTATTGTCTTGTATTAACCGCACAAAAAATCTATTTACTAATGTGAGATTATAAAATTTGACTCTGATTATTTGATATTGCTTGAAACTTAACGAAAATAATTATAAACAATAAAAATCTAACAAGATTCCCCAAATTGAAACTAAGTAGGTATGAGTAAGGCAGATGGGAATCAGCGTGGTTATTAATTGGTACGCATTAATTTATTTCTAAGAAATTTTCTTTATTCTAAGTTAAACGTTTCGGCTACTTTTTAGCCATCTTTAGTGACGTATAACAATGAATTTACAATATGATTTTCGCTTCCTAATATCCTAACATGATTTCGCTTTTCGTATCTGCATATGTTCATCGACGTCTATTAGATGAGGAAGTAGTTTGAAGTACCTTCCGCAGCTTTCAATGCAGTTAAGGGCCGGTTGCATGTTTGAGCTCAAACGTATTAAAAAACACTTTTTAGTTATTGGTAATAATATAATTGATAAATAATGGAACAAGTGCACTGTGTCAAGAATATAATTAATGTGTCAAGAATAGTTAAAAAGTAAAAATGTAAAACTTAGTTATAACATAAAAAAAGAAAAAGATAAAACTGTCATAGCGACTGTGCGCGTCGAAGTCCAAACGGATAGTGAAAATAATTATAGTATCGCTAATTATCATGAGAAAAATTCAAGTCATTATTAATTGTTGCCAAGAATTTTTATTATTTCTTTAGAATTTCAAATACAAAATAAATTGAAATTGTATTTGAAATACAAAATATATTAAATAACTCTTTTGAAAAACCAAATACAAAATACTTTTATATGCTCCGCTGAAATACAAAATACAAATTCGTATTTCAAATACTGTATTTTAAATACAAGTGTTTGAAATATGCCCACCCAGTATATATTATTGTATATACGCATATATTATATATTATATATATATATATACTTGCAGGGATATTGACTCATATATATATATATATATA